CCTTGATTACAAAGGAATCATCTTGATCAATTAGCTTGATTGGAGAGTCATCATCAGCGTATAGAACCCCCTTGCCCTTAGTGTCCGTCTAAAAGACAGATCGTGAGCGATGTTCATGACCCATACTTGTGATATGGGTTATTGTATTCAATGGCGAGGAACACGAACCGGATCGATGTGATCAAAGGTCTGCTGAGCGATGATAATGAGCAATGATGATGATGAGCGATGATGATAATTAGCGATGTGATTAATGGCATGAGAAGAGGATCGGCGTCAGGAGATTATGAGAAGAACGTCGCCGTGGTCGGGAGAGAAAGTCGTCATCCTTGCCATGATGATGTTGATTGGGGGTTACGGAAACGAAGCAAACAAAACAGACACAGAAACAGGCGAAAAGGGTCGGTCTGATCCGTATGACTATGTGATCACCCAGGGGTGATTCAAACCGCAGCGTCGTCATCTTCTTCCTTCAGATGAAATGCACAGAAGCAGAGAATTGCTTGGTTTTCTGTTAACAAAAACAAACTCCAGCTGATGAGAAACCCAGACGAGGATCTCCCCTACAAATCTAACACCAAGGAGTGTTGAGATCTATGCTGAGTGAGACGCAGCAATGGCTGGGCTCCTTGTCACCATTCTTGTCGCCGTCAAATAGTATCTATACTATTAAAAGTAAAGGCACCCTTGAAAAATCGACCGATGGAAGTTGTGTGCACCCTCATTAATGGCATTTTGGTAATTTGCTTTTTGGTCTTACATCTATATATATATATATATATATATATATCAATTGTTACAAATCATATCACATATTAAATATACCCGATTTATTCTCTCTCTTCCCTTTAATTACACTAACTATATTCCATATTATATTTCATACATTTATATTGTCTTATAAACTTTATATTACAGTTTTAATCTATAGATTGACTACATAAATATTTATTATAATATAAATTAATTATATGGTGTTCAGATGCTCTCATACTTATAAATGTTTACATATTTATAAAATAAATTGTAATTTTAAATCATAATATATAATTCAATATATTTTATAATAAAATCAACAAAAAATAATATTTTTTATCAAATAAAAATATACTAAATTATATTTTAATATAGTAATTTAGATATTATATTAAATATAATTTTTATTCTTTTAATATATATTTTAATATTTTGCATTAATAAATTGAAGTATGTTTTAAACCCTATGAATATATGTTGTCATGAATATGGAATTCTTTTAATTTATAGTTTATAAAATAATTTTAATTTTTTATTATATATATATTATTTATTGTAGTAATTTAATTATGAATATGAATAATGTATTTATAAATATTATAGTAATTCTATTTCTTGTTTAGTAAATCCAAATGAATTAAAATTAATTGTAATAATATTTAAAAGTACATTCTATTATTTAAAATATATAATAAAAAAATAAATATTTATCTTAGACTGAAAAAGATATTAAAAGATATTGTCAAAATGCAATATTAGAAAAGATCTTGGTAATATCTTTGATATCTGATTTTTAAATTATTTAAATAATATATTAAGATTGTTATTGAATAATAACTAAATTTGTTGTATGCAAGATAATTTCAAATATTTCGTATTAACTTTTCTTCATATGTCGATATATCATCATTCTCATGGTGACATTTAATGGATGAGATACGTTTTGTTAAGAAAATATTGCAAAAACTATTTTCTATAATTAACTTCGTACTAAAATAAATGAATTGTTTCATCTACAAGTTTATAAATTAACCACAATCAATATCGTGGTTAGTTATTCTTTGTTTGGTTTCCATAAATTTCGATAACTTACCGTAGTTGTATAACCATTAACTGTTAAATTTTAAACTTCTTAACTAATTTAAAATATCTTCAAGAAATATTCCTTATTCCTCGGAAAAGATATTTTTAAAAATCTTCTAAATATTCTTTCCTATATTTGCGTAACCTAAATGTATATCGTCCCTACCTATTATAAATATAGCCTCTTTTAACCAGTATACTCATCATTCATTGAAAAACTTAAAACAAAAATGACGAATAATTTGCAGTTGTCGTGATATAAAACCGAGGAAGACTGCATGTCGCATCCAAGTCAAAATGTTTCATACATGGAGATATTTCATGAAAGATATAGGGGAGACCATAGAACTAATCCTTTGTGATGCAAATGTAAGTTTATCGTTTTGTATAGATTTATGATTTAGATATCTTCATTTTGTAAAAGTGTAACCTAAATGATAATGCTGTCTAAGCGCGGGTCAAAACCTAAATGATAATATTCTTCCCTATATTTATGGAACAATTCTTCTATTTTTAAAACTATATTATTTTGAATCATAAATGTTAATAATTTTCTTATTGGTCAGCTTTCTCCCATTTTTATAACTTATCTCTGTTGTTGTGTATCTATCTAACACGAGTATATTTTTATCTAGATGTTATTGGACAAGTTCAAGACTTGGGTGATCTGGAAACCATAGGGTGAAGTGATGGGAAACAAAAGAATAAGTTGGAGTTCAGTCTCATGGAAACCATAAAAAAAAATTTATGGTTAATAGTATAAAGTTAGTCTCCCTACCTATTATAAATTTCTCAAGCGTGTGTCAAAACAAAATTGATGAAACATAAATAAACTATATAACTCGATTAACATATTTATTGGATTTACCTACAAATTTGTAATACAATTTTGGGTATTTTTAATAGTATTGATTTTTCAAGTTTATTATAGGTCATGAATCCATCCAATTTTGGTTTCAATCTAATATGTGTTTTAATTCTTCAAACTCTCACAACACTTAATTTTATGATTCTCTGTTCAACCACAAACTGACTCGGTTATGCAAACTAAATGAAAAGACCCTAATAAAACGTTAAATATACATCAAATTTCGCATATAAAACTATCATATAATAGAAATCGGATAATTTTGTACATTTTGTTACAATCGAAACAAAATTCGCGCTTCTCAAGCGCGAGTCAAAATCTAGTAATATTATTAAAATAGAAAGACATCACATAAAAATATCTTCTATTTTAATAGTATGGATTCTCCTCCATCCTCCGTATAATGTATATCACACATGTTTTTATTGTTCATTTACATATTACTCTATTTCATAATAAAGGTATTTTTGATTCGAAAGATATTTATTCAAGGAAAACAATATTAAATGTGGATCTTTTATAGCTTTCGTCAACGGACCGTCATCAATTGTTGTTTTTCCCCATGTCTCGTGTGAACTAAAAACTCAAAAGAATATACTAGTAAGTCCCCACTATGCACAACCATCTTCTTTTCAAGGTTAAAGATAATAAGTGGAAATCAAAGATGCAGATTCATTTGGTCAAATTTGCTTACCAAAATAGACAAGTTGGAAGCAATCAACGAATTTATTTATTTATTTACATTGTATAAAATATCATATGCTATAAATATATATATATATATATATATATATATATATATATATATATATATATATATATATATATATATATATAACTTTTAATAGAGGTGACTAGAGAGAGCAAAATAGGAAACTTTTATATGTATATATATATATATATATATATAGGTTTATATATATATCTGCTTCTAAATATTTGAAATGATATGTAATCAACAAAAGTTCCAAATCAAAGACACAGATTCTATATGCTATAATACATAAAATCAAGCAATATTTAAAGTAATGAACCGAATACTCTTGTTATTTTTTGAAAAGATATATAACATGCTATGCTCTTGGTTGCATGGAAGCTTCGTCATACGTACGCTTTCCACTTCGGAACTAGAATTGGAAACGGAAGCTTGTGGAATCTCTTGGAACCTCGATTCCAATACGTTTCCAAAAAAACCTTTTTCAAACAACGTTGGAAGCTTACGATTTTATTTTAGAATCACGCTTCCGTTTTAAGAGATACAATGTCATTAAATAAATAAAAATATAAGAAACATTATTATTGTTTTTATATAATAGTAAAATAGAGAATACAAATATACAAATATTTAAACTAATATTATAAATTATCTTTATGCATTGAAGATTTATTAAACATATATCGTATATATTTAAATAAATTGTGTTAATTATTTACGAAATATTAAAAATAATTAGTATAATATTATCTTATAAACTTAATTTATGTATATTTTCACGGTTTTAACATAAAATCATTTAAAACTATTATAAATGAATAAATATTTTATTTTTAATTTGAATCTAATAATTTCTAGTCATATTTCTAATTTTTTTTATTTTAATATGTGTATGTACATACATATATAAATATATGCTTCCAATACGTGACCGCTTCCTAATTTTTTTAAAAAATTTGCTTCTACGCTTCCATACGATTCTGCTTCTGTTTCCATGTAACATAGCCTATGCTATAGACGGCGATGTAAACATTAATTTTACATTATTATATGTATTTATGAAAAATATATAAAAGTAATTATTAGTTGAAGAAAGAAATAGTTAACTGCTGATAAATAAAATATGAAACTTCTTATATTAGTAGTAGAAAAAGCTTTACTCTAAGAAAATTCAACGCATTTGATTAATTCTTCTTCAAACTGGGAATGTAATTATATTGATGAAGAAACTATTTTCAGAAGATTCGATTAAGATCAAGGCATTCAGCAAATAATCTGGTCAAAATGAGACGTTTTATGTTCGTTCATACGAAACTTCAATCTATTTTGACCAAAAATTAAATTTTAATCTCAAAACAAAAGTAAAATGATAAATCTTAACAATATCGAGTCTAAGGTATGGAGAGATTCTCAAGTGATATATTTGGTTGTGATAGAATATTTATTCTGAAGACACAAATATATTATCTACAACCGATTTTGTAAAAGAAAAATTTTGATACCTTTACTAAATCACCTGTACTAGCAAACAAGAATTTAAGACTTTGCAACTTGCATAAAATTTCATTAGGTGTGATTATAAAAGTCAATCCCAAAGATTCCTCAATTTTATTATAAACAGAGAAGAAATCCCTTTTTTTCTGTGCCTATCTTTGTTTTCCACTTCTCGCACCAATCTCTCCCAACATGTCGGGAGCTTTATCTTGCTCTACGACCGATCTGGCAGTCTTATTAGGCCCTAATGCCACTGCGGCGGCTGACTACATCTGTGGCCAACTTAGCGCCGTTAACAACAAATTTACCGACGTGGCTTTCGCCGTAGATAATACGTACCTTCTCTTCTCGGCTTACCTCGTCTTCTCTATGCAACTCGGCTTCGCTATGCTCTGCGCTGGCTCTGTCAGAGCCAAGAACACGATGAACATCATGCTTACCAACGTCCTTGACGCTGCAGCTGGAGGCCTCTTCTATTACCTATTCGGTTACGCATTTGCCTTTGGATCTCCCTCAAACGGTTTCATTGGAAAACACAACTTTGGTCTCAAAGACTTTCCTTCAGCCTCAGGCGATTACTCTAACTTTCTATACCAATGGGCTTTTGCTATCGCCGCAGCCGGAATCACCAGCGGCTCCATCGCTGAACGAACTCAGTTTGTTGCATACCTGATCTATTCATCCTTCTTAACAGGATTTGTTTACCCGGTTGTTTCTCACTGGTTCTGGTCCGTTGATGGGTGGGCTAGTCCTTTTAGGACAGACGGAGATTTACTTTTCAGCACCGGAGCAATCGATTTCGCTGGCTCGGGTGTTGTACATATGGTTGGAGGTATTGCTGGTCTATGGGGTGCATTGATCGAAGGTCCACGACTTGGCCGGTTCGATAACGGTGGACGAGCTATCGCTCTACGTGGCCACTCGGCGTCACTAGTTGTCCTTGGAACATTCCTCCTTTGGTTTGGATGGTATGGATTCAACCCTGGTTCCTTCAACAAGATCCTTGTCACGTATGAATCAGGCACGATCAACGGCCAGTGGAGCGCTGTTGGAAGGACAGCTGTCACGACCACTTTAGCTGGCTGTACCGCGGCGCTCACAACCCTCTTCGGGAAACGTCTTCTCTCGGGACACTGGAACGTTACTGATGTATGCAACGGCCTCCTAGGAGGTTTTGCAGCTATAACCGGTGGCTGCTCCGTCGTAGAGCCATGGGCAGCGGTTATCTGCGGGTTCGTAGCGGCCCTGGTACTCCTTGGGTGCAACAAGCTGGCGGAGAAACTCAAATACGATGACCCGCTCCAGGCAGCACAGTTACATGGTGGCTGTGGAGCCTGGGGGCTAATATTTACCGCACTTTTTGCTAATGAAAAGTACTTGAACCAGATTTACGGCGAGAAGCCCGGAAGGCCGCACGGTTTGTTCATGGGCGGTGGAGGAAAACTGCTAGGAGCTCAGCTGATTCAAATACTTGTGATTACAGGTTGGGTAAGTGCTACCATGGGAACGCTTTTCTTCATCCTCAAGAAAATGAAACTTTTGCGTATATCTGCGGAGGATGAGATGGCTGGTATGGATATGACCAGGCATGGTGGATTTGCTTACATGTACTATGACGATGATGAGTCTCACAAAGCTATTCAGCTAAGGAAAGTCGAGCATAGATCTCCTTCACCTTCGGGTGTTATTACCACTCCTGTTTGATTTAGATTTTAAATTTTATCTTGTAAGAGTGTTTATCATCATGGTTCGTGATACTCTAATATGTTTTGGATGTTTTTTTTGCATTGCAATAATGTTTTAGATTGTACATTTTTCTTGGCTATGGTGGGTATTATCAATGTATTCATTTGTTTTCAATTCATTGTGTCATCAGATTTTTTTATAGTAATTAGGAATGTGAGGTATGGCAAACCAAATTGACCTTCTTAAACGTTGAGTAATAGCTTACATTAAAAAGTATATCCTTCTTGTAAAAGTATTTACAACTTGATAAACTAGTTTCAACCATATTTCCAGGTGCAAGCTTTAGTAGTTTTCTTTCTCTTGTTTTCTCTTTGACATTTCTAACACAAATAAATTAATCATATTAAATAAAATTATATGGCTTACATCACTTATTGGAATTTAGATCACGACTCTTCAAATTCAGTCGTCACTACATGCAATGATTTTTTTTTATAATCCAACATGTACTCTATTAAAATAGAGTCATTCTTTTAATCTAGTGATACAAGTTTTCATTTAAATTTAGACTCTTTCTAGAGTGTTACAAATAATACAAGCCATATAGTTATTAAACTGCATTACTTAAATTAAACCGATGGTTGAGATATAGTCTTGGGCTTACTTTTACTTTTAGAACAAATTATATGGTTTGGTTTTTGCACTTTGTATTAAGGAAAAAATCAATAAAACATTGAATAAATTTTCTACGTTAATGAATCAAAAATCAATTATTATTTTCAGGCCCAAAAGGTATTTAGTATTTTTAATAAAACAAACTTGTCTATTATTAATCATTTATTCAAATCATGTACTTTAAAACATGTTAATGTATTTTTTATTTTAAATAACAATCATTTTTTTTTGATAAATTTCAATGGTAACTTTTAAATAATTTATTATTTTATTTTCTTAAATAATTTACAGATTTTTAAAAAAGTGTAAAGCAAAACTAAAAACCAAATTTAAAAACTAAAATCCAAAACCAAAAGCTGAAACACATTATATGTTTTGCCTTCTTTTTTTTACAAAATAAACTATTGAAATTTCTTTTAAAAAGTTGTTGTCATCTTTTCAGTTTTAAATTAGATGTTAGATTATTTGAGATTTGTTTGTTGATAATATCAGTTCAAACTAACTCATCGGGTCTTAAAAGTAAAAACTCAAACCAAAAGCTGAAAATCAAAAAAATAGAAACTTAAAAACTAAAAACCAAAAACCAAAATCTAAAACAAAATCTAAAAATAAAAACTGAAATTAAAAACTAATGAAAAACAACCATCACCACAAATTTGGGTGAACTAATTTTATACCAAAACATTCTTTAAATTAAAACAAAACCCAATCATATAAATTTTCAATCATAAAAAATTTCCGCGCTTTTCAAGTGCGGATCAAAATCTAGTCTATTCTATTAAAATAGAGTCATTCTTTTTATCTATTAATACAAGTTGTCATTTAAATTTGGACTCTTTCTAGAGTGTTACAAATAATACAAGTTATATACTTGATTGAACTGCATTACTTAAATTAAACCAGCGGTTATTTATAGAATATAATTTTGCGCTTACTTTTGTTTTTATGACATTTAATTGTTTGGTTTTTGGGCTTAGTATTAAAGAAAACTCCAAAAAACATTAAATAAACTTTTCACGTTAATGGATCAAAAATCAATTACTATTTTCAGGCCCAAAAATATTTAATATTTTCAACAAAACATAGTTATCTATTATTAATCACTTATTTAAATCATGTAATTTAAAACATGTTAATATTTTTTAGCCAAAAATATTTAATATTTTCAACAAAACAAAATTATCGATTATTAATCACTTATTTAAATCACGTACTTTAAAACATGTTAATATTTTTTATTTTAAATAATAATCACTCTATCTTGATAAATTTTAAGGGTAACTTTTAAATAATTTATTGTTTTATTTTTCTTAAATAATTTACATATTTAAAAAAATGTAAAGTAAAACCAAAAACCAAATCTAAAAACTAAAATCCAAAACCAAAAGCTGAAAACGCAGGTTATATTTTTTCTTTTTTATTTACAAAATAAACTATTTCAAAAATTTTAGAAAATTATTTTGTCATCTTTTCAGTTTTAAATTACATTTTCGATTAATTGAGATTTGTTTGTTGGTAATATCAGTTCAAACTTACTCAGCGGGTCTAAAAATTAAAAACTCAAACCAAAGGCTGAGTATCAAAAATAGAAACTTAAAAACTAAAAACCAAAAACCAAAATTTAAAACAAAATCTAAAAATAAAAACTGAAACTAAAAACTAATGAAAAACAACTATCACCACAATTTTTGGTAAACTATTTTTATACAAAACATTCTTTAAATTAAGACAAAACTCAATTAAAATAGAGTCATTCTTTTTATCTACTGATACAAGTTGTCATTTAAATTTGGACCATTTCTAGAGTGTTACAAATAATACAAGTTATATAGTTGATTGAAACACTTTGCTTAAATTAAACCGGCGGTTATTTATGGAATATAGTTTTGGGCTTAATTTTGTTTTTATGACATTTAATTGTTTGGTTTTTGGGCTAAGTATTAAAAAAATCTCCAAAAAACATTAAATAAACTTTTCACCTTAATGGATCAAAAATCAATTACTATTTTCAGGCCCAAAAATATTTAATATTTTCAAGAAAACATAATTATCTATTATTAATCATTTATTTAAATCATGTACTTTAAAACATGTTAATATTTTTAGCCAAAAATATTTAATATTTTCACAAAACAAAGTTATCTATTATTAATCACTTATTTAAATCATGTACTTTAAAACATGTTAATATTTTTTATTTTAAATAACAATCACTCTATCTTGATAAATTTTAATGGTAACTTTTAAATAATTTATTGTTTTATTTTTCTTCAATAATTTACAGATTTTAAAAAAATTTAAAGTAAAACCAAAAACCAAAAGCTGAAAACGTAGGTTATATTTTTTGCCTTTTTATTTACAAAATAAACTATTTCAAAAATTTTAGAAAATTTCCAAAACCAAAAGCTGAAAACGCAGGTTATATTTTTTGTTTTTTTATTTACAAAATAAACTATTTCAAAAATTTTAGAAAACTATTTTGTCTTTTCAGTTTTAAATTACATGTTCGATTAATTGAGATTTGTTTGTTGGTAATATCAGTTCAAACTAACTCAGCGGGTCTAAAACTTAAAAACCCAAAAACCAAATTTTAAAACAAAATCTAAAAATAAAAACTGAAACTAAAAATTAATGAAAAACAAATATCACCACAAATTTTAGTAAACTAATTTTATACCAAAACATTATTTAAATTAATACAAAACCCAACTATATAAATTTTTAAAAAATTTCCGCGCTTTTCAAGCGCGGATCAAAATCTAGTTAATTATTTAACTCAAACTACTTTCGAGTTTGGTACGGTGTTGCCGGGCGCACATCATCAGAGTATCCTATCCCACTATTATATTAAATAATGATTTACACAAAGGATATTCACTATTCACAAATAACACGGAACCCGTACTGGTTTTGTGTTCATAGTAAAATGCTTCTTTCAAAAATATTTCAAATCTATATTATTAAAATAAAAGTAATGATTTATTTCATTTATGATATTTTAAAAAAGACTATCTTCTACAAAGCTATTTACATTTGTTTTTTTATTTTCATAATAGAATCCTAACAACATATTTAATTATCATTTTATTCCATCAGTATATTATTAGATTTTCATAATTTCTAAAAATATATTATTCCATTGAAAAAATTCTAAAAATATATGAAATATTTTAATTATATTTTCATGATTATAAACTTCAAATTAATTAGGTTTTTTATATTACAGAGATTTTGTTAGAAGGATTCATTCTATTTCAAATTAAAAGAAAAATGTTTATCTAACTTATTTTATTTCAAGCAATTTCTAAAATATGACCATTACTAAAAAAATATTTTGAAGTAAGCGTATTATAGTTTCTTTATCTTTTTTTTTTTGTTTTTAACATTTTCTCAAAAATTCTCTTCTCTACTATATATATATAGGTCCAATTTAATTTTCTTCCATAGAATTTTAAAATTTTAGGAATAAAGAATAAAAAGTAATATTGTTACATAATAATGTTTTCAAAACAACTTTTGTTAGAAAAATACAAATTATCGTAGTAATCTATAATCTACATAAACATAGGTATCATAGATAACACTAAAATTACATTAAACTATTGATAGATTTTGTTTTATAAATTAAAATATCTTAGTATAGAAAGAAAAAACATGCACGGATGTGCGAGTTAAGATCTAGTTTACAGTTAAAAACAAAACTAAGTTTTCTTTTTTTTATTTTCAAATTTTTTAATTTTTCTTATCAACCTCGAAATTTAAATTATTTACAAAATATCATTATTTTTTCCTCAGAAATACTTTTCTACTTTATCGTTCTATCTTCATCTTTATTTATAACTTTGTCAATTTCATCGAACACTAAGTACAACTAATTAAAAACTTTAAATGCACTTAAAAATCAACAAATACACTTTTTACTTCATTTCTTACTCATACAAACTATTTTTCTTCCAATTTCTCTCTAATTTCATTCCAGAAAATCCAACTTTTCGATTTCAAAATTTGTAAGCTTATTGGAATCTCTAAAATTCATGAATCTTGGTCAATAACAAATGGATATCTTTCGTGGCGAAGTTAAGTGTGCTTTGGATATTTTTGGTGGTGATTAAGTGTTCTTGGAGAAGGTAACCAAGTTATCTCACTAGATATAGATATTCAGTTTTGTTTTCTCAATCTGTTCACGAAGAAGATTTCTTTTCTGATCGATGCTTATGTTACTTTTCTGAATTGAATATTTTGATTGTTTTATAAAAGACTTCTCTATAAATCTTTTAACTCTTCTTTTTAACAATCAAAGTGAGTAAACTTCTCTAAAAGTATTAACTGATAAGCAGATTAGT